TCCTTCTCCGTTTCATTCAACACGGACACCATCTACAGCTCGTCGCGAGGTTCCACCTTAGCAGCGGTAACAGGCTGGTGCTCAAGCAGATAGCGAGCAGCCAACGATGCTTGCATGGCCACACCATAGGGCAGTGTATCCTCGTTGATGGTGAAGTAGGGGGAGTGATGAGGCGCCTGCGGTCCACGAGTCTCGTTGAGCATCCCCACGAAGTAGTAGTATGTCTTGGGAATGGCCTCCGTGTAGAAGGAGAAGTCCTCGGCACCCATCAGTGGCTGCTTCTCTCTCACGTTGTTGGGGCCAACCATCTCACTGCCCACCTTCGCAAAGAAATCGTGAAGCTCGGGATTGTTGATTGTTGGAGGGAAGAAAGGCTTATCTTTGTCAAGGAAGTCCACAACTGCGCTGCAGCGCTGGACAGATGCCTGTGTGACTATGACCTGAGACAAAAAATAACCCTTTGAAGTTAAACAAACGAAATTTAAACTACAGATCCTTGAGTCTGTATATCCTTTTTTAGCGATACCAGCTTTGACCGTTCATGATAAAATAAGCAGCAAGAAGCACTACCTTTCTACAAAACCCAAATGATGCAACACTGCAACTTTCATAATTTAAAGTGGTACTACAGAATAATAATCAGGCAACAGAATGACCACCAGGCTCATTTGGTTATGATTATCCTTGTTCGTAGTGCGAAATTGACATAGGTGGCTACAGGCCGAGCTGCTGTAACACTTTGTATAAATAGTACTGTTAAATCATTTTACATCTATAAATAGTACAATAGACAGGGGCAGTCTGTTCACCTCGAACTACACCAACCATCAGATATGCATTAAACAATATTCCTTGATTCTACACTCTGTTTTCTTTATCTCGACTCTTCTAGAGATGTCAATTTTCAGCACTGTAGTAAGTCAATTTGCAAAAGTTAATGTTAACACTTCCCTTCAATTATCAGGACTTCCTATTATTTGGAGGCGTTGATGTATTGTAACATGTTTCAAGTAATCTTTCAACAAAATTTATTGAGGTCTCCTACCAACACATGGGGCTTATGCCTTAGTTATCTTCGATTCAGATAGTGTAGGTTCTCGACGTGCCATTTTGATAGCAAGCATAACTATAATTTTTTTACGAGGAATTCAAGCACCAACCGTACTCCTTTAAGTCAATTTTATTTCTTCATCTTTTCAAGAGCAAATCACACGGAACTTAATGACACATAAACAACACACAATTCCCAAGTTATAATGTTGTTACCTCTTCAATTCGCTGCTTCAATTGATTAAAACTCTCCTTCAAAAAGGCTCGGAAGGTACCGCCTATTGTCACGGAATCAGGGATAACATTGAAGGCTCCACCACCTTGAAACTTTCCAACCGTTACTACCTGCAGAATAAAGCCAACAAAAAGGAGGGTAATGAGATGTTGGGGTACACAGGAATGACTACGGGCGAATGGGACCCCCAAAACAATATGGCAATGCTAAAGGAATGACTAGGGCTATCACCACTTACCATATAACAAATATCTATAGCCTAAAGGCAGCCGACTGGGAGAACGTATGAAACATGACAAGGGGAACATTTTATAAAGACAATCCATATGATAGGACTGTAATATGCAGAAAATCATTTCATCTATTAAACCATAATGCTAGACAAACAGTTCAGGAGTGTAAGTCAAAAAACTTGTGAATTCAGATACTAGATATGTTAGAGTACGTAATGGGCCTAATGGCCTGGGCTGGCGGTATAGCCCGTTAGTCTTAGGGTTAATTAGAGATAAGGGTCGCTTGCTTAGGGGTCAAGTAAGCCTTGCTTGGGAGTCAAGTAAACCTCTCTATATAAAGAGAGGAGATGTATCAATCTAATGAAAGCAAGAATTAAGAAGGAAATCCTTCCATCTTGCCCGGCCGTGGGCAAAAGGCCCCTGGCCGGCCTTCTTGCGCCCTCCTTCTAGCAGCGCCATAACAAGATAACGAAGAAATTTTGGTAGTTACGATCATAATTCTGGGTATATTAGGAGTAGACAGGCTTCCATGTTAGGATGTGATTAGTTAGCCTGCAGTAAATCAGAACAAATAACTGTTTTAATAGGTATGGGCATGTTAATCCTCAGGATCCTAACACGTTTTGAGTATTAAAAAATGGGTCAAAATGATCTACGCAAACTCCACCAAATGAGCTATCTAAATCACATAGCCATGATAAAGAAAACTATGTAAGTCATATAAAAAAAGTAGCAGTCATTAAATAAATCAAGTAGCTCAAGGATTGAATAGCACCTGTGAGTCCAAGGGGTCAGCTTCTCGGGAAACAAGTTGCTGAAGGCTTACAATAACATTGGATGCAGCCAGTATCGGATCAATAGTGTGATGAGGAAGTGCAGCATGCCCTCCCTTTCCACTTATTACTGCCTCAAAGAATCCACTCCCTGCCATTATAGGACCAGGTCTGGATGCCAGCACACCAATTGGCACACTGTCAGCTACATGAAGTCCAAACATGACCTCTATGTTTTCCCCAGCTCCGGCTTCTACCATTTTCTTGGCTCCACCACCACCTTCCTCAGCTGGTTGGAAAAGAAGGGCTACAGTACCCTACGGTAAACAAACAACAAGACGTTTGTAACATCAAATTTTGCAGGTAAATAAAATTTGATGCCTGCAAGATAGGAAAAAAAATTGGCCAAGGATTGTGAGATCTTGACATAATTGATATATAGGCAGCCACATGGTTCAGTTTGTACATAACTGATCTGAGGGGAAGTGGGGACCAAACTATCCTTTGACTAGCTGTATGATGTCTGAACAAAGCTGCATGATCAATTATTGGAGAACTGAATGCACATGCGCATTACATATGCATTTGTATTACTGCTAATGTGATGGTTGTTTTGAAATATGAAACAGTGAATCACCAACATTGTGCATCTCTTGAGAAGAAGTGTCGAGGAAAAAGAAACAAAAATCATTGCACTTGCCCTTTGGCAAAATCTCCAAGAAGTTCAGGAAGCATCAGTGCTGGAGTGGACATCGAGGAAATACCAAAATTTTATCGCCTATATTTTAATCAAACAAAAACCTTATTTACCATGGCCAGCATTAAGAATCAGGTAGTTTCTGAACCATAAAAGTTGATATATACCACCAAAAGTGATACATCACCACTCTGACATGAACATCGAATTGTTATAATTTAGTTCTGTCAAAGTTTTAATCTGGTAAACAGATGATTTCTACAAGAAAGAAAAGAAGGAGAAGTATGAAAATAAAGCACGTGGAGTGTTGATATATACTGATCTTATGATTACATTTTCATTTATTTGTTTGCAAGGTTACTACCTTTTAAACTCAAAGCAACAACAAAATGATGAATCTATATTTAACTGTCAACCTTCAAGCACCCTTTCGGCGTTAAAGAGAAAATTATAATCGTCTTGCGGCTTTTCATTGTAAAATGAGAAAATTACAACGCTTTTTACAATCCAGAAAAGAGCTTCTTTACTAACCTTCAACTCGTCACGGTGCTCCTGAAGAATCCTAGCAGAACCCAATAGCATAGCAACATGTGCATCATGGCCACATCCATGCATCTTCCCAGGCACTTTGCTCTTATGTTCCCATTCCACGCTTTCCTGAAGACAGCACATAAGGGTATCATAAGTAACATGACCCTTGAAATAGATAAAAGTGATAGCCAAATACAGCCTAATCATATTTCAGTGTGGGCAGAGGACGCTTACAATGCTTAAATTAGCACCAACAAATAATTCAAATAAACACAACAAATATCCAGTAACTGGGAATAGCAATTATGCTATCCTCTTCTAGAAAATGCATATAATAATTGCCCCAAAATTATTATCTACTTGTATAACAATATGGCATAATTGTCTCATCGCCACACAAGGCAAGCTTGAATTTTAGCTTTACTGTTATATACGTGCATATAGGCTAATCACATGTTTCATTCCCACAATAACCATAAACATACTCTTGTATGATCCTGGTCAAATGTCTAGGGAACTGCTATGACTAGGCTAGTGTATGTCCCTCTTTTTTTAATAAGAAAAGGAGTGTTTGCCTCAAGCCATCTGTCCAGACTCAGAAGTTTAACTGTACCGAGTGTTTGCCTCAAGCCACGGTCAATTTCAAAGATATCGAGCCTCCCGACTTGAAGATTTGGGATACAATTCTCTATCCTCCGACTTTGAAATATGACCTCTCACACGGCAGTGCTGAGAGGTCAACTGAAGCCATCGGCCCATCAGGGCTCGTTTAAGAGATTCTGATTTTACTTTATTTTTGCAATCTTAGTTTTGCTAATATATATATATATATATATATATATATATATATATATATATATATATATAGGACAAATATTTCCTACAAGCAGTGGTAGTTATCACCACTTGCATTTTGTATGTTGTATGTAGTATCTATCGAAACCGAGAGTATGTACGTGTAGTATGTAGTATATAAAAATGATTAGGTAGTATATATACAAATTTTTAGGGAGTATGTACCATTTTTTGAGTATGCTTTTTTTACGTACAAATATATATGTATTTCACAAATATAACAAAAACTATGGGCTCATATGCAATTTTTTCA